GGCGGGTCGTCTAGGGCGGGTCGTCACCTGCCATCCCCGCATCGGGCAATCACCACGCAGGTGTATGGCGGCTCTAGAGGGCGCGCCGAGCCAAAAGCCCCTCAACCCAGAGAGAGGGAGGACCGTCCGCGGATATGGATTTCAGGGGATCCCGGACCTTCTGGAACTCCAGTGTGGCAGATCGGTCTCGGAGGCCCGGGAATCCTCGGAAACGACGGGTGTCGCGTGTTGAGGACCGGGAACAAGCCCTGAACCAACCCCAGGCCAAAATGGGGAGGCACGCCAAAGCAGGGCGTAGGCGGGTTCAGGGCTGTACGATCTCTCTATGCGGGATGGAAACGACCTATCCGAAGCTCCATCTAATCGAAGATCATGTCCCGGCCATCTTCGCGGACAAACCACGGACGCCGGATCCCGTAGGACGGGGAGATCTGGGTGAGGACCTGGCGAACACCCGGTACACTTGCCTCGCCGTTATGGCGCAGTGTATGCTGGGTCCACGCGCCACAGTACATGACTTGTGTGATCATATCGATGGCCACAACCTCATCCTCCCGGGCTGGCAGATCACCGCGATCCAGGAAAAGGCCATGGTGGAGATGTGTAAGGTACTGCACATCACGGTGCCGAACCGTTTCTACCTGTCCCCAATGAACTCACCAGCGGTCCTCGTACACTGGAGGTGTCTGACCGTGATCACGGGAGCGTTGTCGCCAGCCACTATGGACAGTCTAAGGGGGACCTANGGGGGTTGGAGAGCTTCCGGTTTCCCCCCGTCGGCCTGCCCAAAACTACCTTGGTGTTGGGGATGTGCGGAGGGTTTGGTTCCTCCCTGGACCTGCTGATCCCTGCCTGACACACCTCTGCATAGGTCAGGGTTGCTGAGACCGGGGTCCGGACGACAGCCTCACCTTCGCCGCTCACTTCGGTTACGATGGTGGAGATGGTACAGTCAGTGTACCTCCGGATGTCAATTACCGGGGCCAGGACGTCGTGCTGGGGGACGGCGGATTCCCGTCTAGCTCATGCGTTAGCTTTGCGGGCTTTCGTCTTTTTCCCCTTTTCCTTCTGTAGCCTTGACTTTGCCCATGGCGTGGGTGGGTCAGCTCCGACTATGTGGCCGATGTTATGTCGGATCCAGGCGTTGGAGAAAAGGGAACGAGCTCCCCTTATAGCATCGTCAATCCAGTCCTGTCGGTTGGCCCGTCTCGCTATAGCCACTTGGCCTAGCAATGCCAACTGCAAATCAGGTTGAGACATGCCGATCTCGCAGAATAGCCTCCTGAGCAAGTGCCTTGCGCCCAGGAGCCGTCCTACGGCGGCGCTCTGTTCCAACTCGGTTAGGAATGGCTTCTCGGGGGGGGGGGGGGGGGGGGGGGGTGATCTCCCTGGGCCATATCGTCTACCTGCAACGAGAGAGAGATGATTCCATTAATGATGTCCCGAACCCACCCGCTTGCATGCAGCGCACTTGTATCTATCGATATCTAGAGCTTCTGATGGTGCGATATTGATACAAGACCCATGAAACCATTCCCCACAGTAGTCGCACTGGATCATAAACTGTCCTCCCCAGGGTTTCTTGCACAGACAGTATACACCATCGTCAGTGTTTCCATCCCCCAGCAACGGTTCCGTAACCGAGAAGTTGCGCAACCACGCGGGAAGTTGTCGATCTCGACAAGGTTTCAACTTGTCGTGATTCAGAACCATTACCTTGTTATGCAGCTGTACCCTGAACAGATATGGTGTTATTTTTTCAAGGATTATTCCTGGTCATTTCCATGGGGGGCACAATTTCTTACATTTTCCCTTCGGAGAACTGTTGTCCAGAATATACACCCGATCCCCCTTGTCATTTGACTTGGTGAGGATCCGGAGGTCGTAATTCTTTTTCATCCGTTTTTGGGTTTCCTTCAATTTTTGTCGGGCCAATTGGTGTACCTCCTGAAGTGTTTCCACCAATTGAGATATGTACGGGGCTACTTCAAGCTGCTCCGATGTCCGACAGGACTCGAACATGAGATCAGCC